TATTATCCCCCCCACAATGTCGCTTCAACAAACCCTTGCCATGTCGGACAAAGTTTGAACAAACAAATTATGCAAAATGTTATTAATTACATATATGAAAATAAATTTTTATTTTACAGGAAAATTGGGAGAAACTATCTGTAGGCATGTGCTAGATATTTTTCACTAGGTTTGTGTTGAACGTAGCATAAATGTATCCAAAGGCAAGACAGCGGAACTCGCTTCAGGTTTGACTCTAAGGGATAGTATGGAGACTATCTATGCTTATGTATTTATCTCAAGATACATCAACTGAGCTATCCCAAAGATAGGTGTCTAGAATGCCTAACACCAATTAAGTAAAACAAAAATAAAAGTAAGTTAATATGTACAATATAGATAATTTTCTTAAGAAAAGCACATTTTTTTTTTACACCAGGTAGGTGTTATATAATGATTGAAGAAAATATAAGAACTAAATATCATAAAGTATAAATAACATGTCATGCATTTCCACCAAATGCCAGGATACATATAAATGTTTATTATAAGTAAAATATTTTTTTCCATTAATTTACAATGTAAAATTGCACATATATCTTAGGGTTTTCATTTGCATTTCCTGAAAACATATCTTAATAGAAATTGGATAATTTTTCTTTCTATGACATGATAACAAGAAACTATTACGATACATGTAAGTTCGAAAATATCATAGGTACAATGTAGATACACATTACTTTTCGAATGAGATAGCATTTTTCGAGAATGATCAATTAAATTGCCGATTTTTATAACCGTAGGATCTGACTGCCTTATTCATCTTTAGCTAATGTTTAAGGAGGCTAGGGGGTACTATAATATCTTAAGCTGTTAACTATCATATGGCAAGGAAAATCTCATAAATTTTAGTTTTAAAATTTGATCATTTTAGTATATCTTGAGATGGAGCTCTTCTTCCAGAGGAGATCAAAATAGTCAAAAATGTCCACAACCACCCAACCCCTTTTACTCTCTTTCCAAAGAAAATGTCATCGGCTTTCAATACATTACAGTTATTTACAGATATATATACCGGGTATGTAGATATCCAAAATATGCATATATTTTTTTATCTCTTTTTAAATATATGTAGATATATACAGGTGGTATATCTTGGGTTTTCGGGACATTTTCTTTTCACAATGAGTGAGCTGTAGAGGATCGCCACATGATGTTCGAATAGATAAGAATGACACGTTTGGTTTTTGATAAAAGCCAACATTTATACAATGTATTATAGGTATCTATCTAGATATACGTATCTATCTATCCATCTCTCGATACTCGCCCTCAAATTTTAAGTAGGGTGCGCAGCTGATTAAAAGACATAAAAAGTACAGAAAAGTAAATTTCAATGCGGTGAAAAGGGAACGTATTAAATTATTAGTGAGGATAAAAAGTTTAGAAAAACAGTATTCACAGTTAAAAGATATAAAAACACTATAATATAATTAAGGTCTGGGGTGATACAGTTTGCTCACTCCCAGTTTGAAATGTTTAACATCTGGATGCGAGAGGTACCTTCCATACTGACAAGAAATCGGTGTGCAAATAGTCAATTAATTCTGCTTAAGTCAGGCTTTTGGTCAGAAACTTGTACTTAATATCAATTATTTTACTGTTTTATTTAAGCTAAGTTATTTAAGAGCTCATAAGTAGTTATATCAAATTACATTGCAGATTCTATTTTGACAGTGACTTCATTTTGGGCTTTGGGGTCCTCGTGCATCATAGGTCAATAATAGAAACACAAATTTCGATAATTGGTCCACACATTTCTAGCAATGTCATATTGGCATCATTAACCTAGTTGGATGAAAAAACCATTAAGAAATATAGTCTGAACTTTGTACATTTCAATGGTAACCCCCTAACTAATAACTCATTATTCGGGTGATGACATACTCCATTGCCTGACACCCGTGGCTAGTAAATGTAAGGGATGTGCAAGTGAATTGTAGCAACCATTTGCCCGTGGGAATAAAATCAATATGTAAGACAGATTTAAAGCTGGGCATAGGGGCTTGCATGATCTACTCAGTATTTGTCTTCCTCTTTTATATAAATACAGTATTATCGTATGATAGGGCAAGCTAAAATCAGAAAGAGCAAATGAAGTTTGACCATTACTTCCCTTTGACAAAATCCTGAACAAAATATCAAACAAAAGACCAGTAGCAGGAATCCATAGATTGTGTATAGTCTTGTCTTGGATATTTGGATATGGCATTCATAGGATACTGAGATACCCAAAGTGAGACCATTTGTCCGTGATGGAAAACCCCTCAATATGATGAAAAGATTAAAAAAAAAGGTAATTGGTTGATTCTTTGTTTTAGAATAAATTAAATTGCACTTGGATGGTACATGTACATGTTGGTTTCAATGACCCGGGCATCTCGCCTGGATCATTATGGTTTCATAGTATAGAAAGTGCCTGCTCTTCCTGCAAAATATTAGTCCAAATTCAATTACTTGGTCTGATAAAAGTTTAATCAAAGACGAGTCTTGATTACATGGAGACCCTAGCTTACAAGTGTCTCTAATACATGAACATTTATTAAAAAAAATGATATTTAAAGGTCAAGTGGGTGAAATGCTGAATTAAAACTTTCATATATACACCTTACGCGTTATTGGCGGGTGAACTTGTATAGACAAGTTCATTTGGCGGACTTCAGGGATTACCACGAATGATGATTTCTACCATGTCTGGCTCAAAACTCTGGGTTATCTATCCTCAGTACTGGGGAAGATTTGGGGGTTACCTCAGTGGCACCTGAGGGACCGGCTTGATCCTTGTGATACCAAGGGCAGGTTTTGGGGGTCTACGGTACCCAGCTACCCCTGGGGGTGTTATCCCCATGTTGTTGTTATATTCCAGGGGAGACAGGTATAGAGTTAGGGCCTGAGTCAGAACTTGAATTCATTCATGCCATGTGGCATTCACTCTTGTGATTTCCAAGAGGTCTGTTCCCACAACAGTCACCTGTGGGTACGCTATCGCGCCAGGTCAGTAGGCAGGTAGTGATTCCCTGGATTCCGCCGGGGTATTTACATCTATGTATAGATTGTGACAAATACTTGCCACAAAATGTAATTATTGTTTTACAATAAATGTGATTAAAGTTAATATTTGTTTCTATTCATTGCATCTGGGATTAAATTAATAATATTATAAAATTGTAGGAGTTTTACTGTTCAAATTAACGTTCTTACTTTCTATGGTGAAAATTGTCTAAGTAGTATATATTGAAATTCATCTCTGAGTTCTCTTAGATTACTCAGGAACAAATTCTGTCTTGTGGTATATAACGCCAGCGTCAGCTTTTAATTGGTAAATGATATTTACAAGTTCGAAAATCTTCAAAATGTAATAAAGTCCTTTTAGAAAATTATTAGAATTGCTTTCTAACATTAATTCTAACTTTAGTTTTTCTTTGTATATTCTACATTTTCTATGTATACATGTTAATGAGGTAATGCAAACTTAAATGTGCCTATCATACTGATAATTGTTCAAGATTTCTTAATTTAAAATTTCGGTGCCATCAAATGTTCGAAGACACCAAATCAGCAGGCATTACCAAGCGTTTTGAAAATATCTCAATTGATGAAAATTCCTTTAAAATTGACTGAAAAATGTACAAAAATTACTAAGCATGTATTTTCGGTGTTTTGTTTTTGTTTATTTCTAACAAAAATAGCCTTGTTTCACAGGAATTGAAAAGACTGTATACATGTATTACCTTTAATCGGACGACTCAGAACTCTTTTTATTACATCGGTATTGCGATTCAAGGAAATACCAGAAAGGAAAATTCAGTCAGAACACCTCGACCGATTCATCATCAGACGGTTGTGCAATCAAAAAAAAATCTGACACCATTCTATAAATAAACAATAGATGTGCGCAAACAATTCGCTCCAAAGCATTTCACAATGTACATCATTAAATAAAGAAACATAACAAGTCGTGTACAGTTTTTTAAAATCTATTTGATGACAGTATATATTGAAGTCAGGAATTTATTTAGAATTAAAAACTTATATTGTTTATTAAGTTTTATATAAGAGATAGGCAAATTACATATATGTAATACATGCATAAGTTTTCCACTTTTTAATTTTAAATAAATTTACGGTGACAAAATAATCAATACACATCTCATTTATAAATAACAAATGGAAAAGGTGTTAAATAACTACACAAAAGCAAACAGTGTAACAAATTCATAACATCGAGCATGAACAAATGGTATGATAACTTAATGAAAAATACAACTTTTAAAATGACTGGTTAAAGATTTTGTTGCAACAGGATTACAATATCAGACAAATCTAGTTTATTAAATATGGATGAAATGTTTATAACATAAAATCATTAACGTGACTTCTTTATTTTATCACTCAACATGCAATATATGTAATGATATAAAATATTTACAAACTACAGAAATAAGCTTTGGATTTACTGAAGTAGTGCATAAGCTTTAATTTTTATGCAAATAGTCAGATCTTACAGTCTTGCACTTGTTTTTATTTCTTTTTCGGTTTCAAGTGACAAATATTACCTCAATGCAATAAGAATCATAAAACAAAATACAGCACTGAGTTGAACATTGTTCAAAAAATTACCTTAAAACTTATTCATAATAAGTGAAATTGGGCCAAGTTATTTCTGTGACACAGTATTTCATGACGTTCATGACAAATTGGGCATACTTTATAGGGTATCGAATTAAATGGGGAGGGGGGGGGGGGGGTCTATGACCAAATTTTTCAAATTTAAAAACCAAAAAACTCACGTGTGTCGACGTCATTGTCATGTTTCAGAAATATAGATTTCATGTTTCAAAAATTTTCGGATGATTCCTTGAATATTTTCTGATCCAAAATATTATTTAAAAATTCATGATAATAATAATGCATAAAGTCTGATTTCTTATTATCTGATAAGACATTTATGAGTATACTTCCAGATTCTGTTTAGCTTACGAAATGGATGCCCTAACATTTAGAACTGAATGTGAGGTTGGCTGATTTTTCTGGAAGTTTCACATAATCATTCTCCTTGTTAATGCATTTTACATTTAGAGTCTGGAAATCGTTGTCGAATTTCTTGGTTGGAACTTGTTTCTCATAGATGGCGGATTTATTGCAATATCTTTTGAAATGTTGACTGAAAAAATAGAACAACTTAAAATAGAATGATTTTTTCACAATAAATAAAAATAAATAAACAAAACACATAAAGGTACATTTCCTAACTATTTTTTCTTCTAATCATGTAAATCTTTCTTAAAGTTAACATCTTTTATCTGTATTTTATTTAGAAGGGTACTGAAGAAGATGTTATAATTTTCCATCATTGTTGCATTTTTACACAGCGAAAGATTGACATTATAAAGACTATAGCTTGTTTTTGTATGACTAGCAGAAATTGTACATGAATCAGTAAGCAATAATTTTTTAAGATCAAAGATCATTATGGCAAGATACACCGCCTGTGGTGCCCCTGCTACTGATTATGGATCTTCCTCAAGTAAACTGTTCAAAGTGGGAAATTAAAGTCCTATTTTGTGTTGTTTAATGATCTTTAGAGCTTGAATACTGTTCGTGATCTCCACATATTTCATTAAATATTCTTAATAATGCTCAATGAAAACCCTTTATCAAAATGTTTCTCTCTGTCATTTATATTTGTTTATCGTTGCCATTCGAAAATTTCGCCAACTCTGCTACTACTCGTATTTACCTTACAGATGTCATATAATTATGAATTTTTTTATTAAATGTATCTTTACATTGTATATGACCTACATGTATGTATTCCAGGAAGACATTGAATTTTCAGAGACAGAATGCTGTTTTTTTTAATATAAATTTTGGGTTCGAATTTTTTAAAATATCCATGGGGACATTTTAAGCTAAATAATGCACATTTTTAAAAACCTAACCAATATCAATGACCGACTGGATCAGTGAAATGCATTGACAACTCCAAATACGAAGAAGTTTCCCTGTATAGTTTGATCTAAGCAAATACTGAGGTAACAGGTGTCTGCTTTTATAACACCAAAAGAAAATTTATTGCATTAAAATATCAATGTTTAACTATCATTTGTGTTTCAATTATTTTATGATGTTTTCTCTTGCAAACTTTAAGTGACACTCTGGTCGAGAAGCAGAGATATTTTTTTTATTGTTTTGTACTAAAAAAAAAAAACTAAAGTTTACATGCACCTGAACTGCAATTTTGGTCTTTGAACTTTTTTCACCTATGTATTTATGCTTTTATGGTATTTGCTTGAAATGATATTTGTTTTCACCTCTCTGTTAGTCGTTCAATTTATCGGAGTTTTGCGCGATCTTTTCACTGATTTGACGGTTTTCATTTTATTCCAAAATCCTTTAATATCATTTTGGTTAAAATATATATCCCATCAATATATATTCCTGTTTTGAAAAAGATAAATGTATATAAAAACATTGCAATATATTATAAAGGAATTAAGAAAATGTACATGTATTTACACAGTCAAAATAAAAATACTAATTAGACAGAACATACCCTTTATATAGGTAGAACACCACCAGGCCTCCAATGGTTGCCAGTGTAATTGATAAGACTACGGCAATGATCAGCGCATTTTCTGTTAACCGGTTTTCTGAAAGATATAAAATAAATCGATGATCAGAAAAACAAAACAAAAGTAACCGTAATAGAGGTTGTTTTATATAAAAACTTGTGTAAATATTCGATTTAATTTTGTTTTTATTTATCTTAATCAAAGGTACACTATAAAAAATAGCTTTTAATACATGTTTCAGATACTTACTGTGTGGCAAAGGGTTTTTCTTGACATACTCGTCATCATCAGCAACACAGGGTTTATGCTTTCCTGGTAAAAAAAATCGTCTTTATATTAGCAAGTAAAAAAATTACAAAAAAAATATTATCTGTTCAAATTTAAACTTTTCTGGCACTGTGAAATAAGTATTTTTATGACTTTTTATTATTTTTGTGTGTTTAATAAATACCGAAGCAGTATCGATCCTCGCATAAATTCAAGGGTTTCAAGCAGTAGGCCATAAACCTTCCACAGTTCTTCACAAGTATTTTGTTTTTCTCCAGGCAACAATTTTTATTAAAGCCCTCCGAAAGTCCTGACGTACAAATGTCTCTTTGTACTTTTCCGTCCCAAATACTGGGATGCGAACCTTAAATTCGAATTAAAAAGAAAATGATATCTGTAATTAATTTCTCAACACACAATTGTTTTGAGTTTGCTTAATGTAGAGGCTTGAATCTGTAGTTTGTTAATTCATTTCATAATATTTAACAGTATACAATGGTTATCACTGAAATAAATGACACCTCAAACTAAATTGGTATTCTAAACGTCCATGCTAGATACTTTCACACAACAATGATCCATTTAACGGTCGTAAAATCTTTTGTGTATGTTTTTTTAAGTTGTCCATTTTAAGTTGATCTGTTATGACATACATACCCTGCATCCAGACGGGGCGAATAGCGCCACAGGAAAGGATTCCCGGGCATCTATCTAGTAGCACCTGTCCTTGGTCGTCTGCTTTATACCAACCAGGATATAGATCCCGATCACATGATTGCATGTAGTGTGTGTATTTACAATTTTCAGTCCTGTTTTTGGTGTTTGGAATCCTTGGGATGTCAGGCAACATGCACGGATCTAAAATTTAAAAACGTAAAAAGTAAATATGATTGCAGAAAGTAGGCCAGTGGTCAATTTCCAGAAAGATATGTGTTCACAATCCCTCTAGCATAATATTTCCTATATTTACTAATTTTACTTTAAATTATAAAATATTTTGTTGTCTTTGTTGCCAAGAATGCATTTATTATTATGTTAGCAATTTAAATAATTTGAAAAAAAAAGATTTGATAATTTATCTCATTTTAAGTTACGTTTAAGTTTTAAGTTAAGTTTAACTTATTGGGCACAGATTTTGTTTGTCTTTCAAAATATAAAGCCATAAAGAACATATAATTCATTACGTGACCTTCATTACAGAACCAGAACTCCTCAAGTACTGGATTCTTTGTGGTTTCCCTTGTTGTTCCCCTGGTTGTGGGTCTATTCGTCGGTTTGGGTGGCTGCCTTGTTGTGGAAGTTTTCCAGACAGCTGGAGTCGTGTCAGGTTTAGGTGAACTAGTGATCTCTACACAAGACGCGTCTTTTTCACCTTGAATATATGAACAAAGTTAAAAATAAGGTACTTAATTTTTTTTTTTTTAGAATTTTATTTGCTTAAGGACCCTCTCTACACAAGAGCAAACTTTTTTTGGACATTGAGAAAATATATTGTATAAAGGAGTTATAATTGAGGTCATTTATTTAATTTTCACTGTATTGTGCGTGGCATGCATTTACCCCTGGGAAAAATGTTTAAAGACAACACACTATCAGTGAATAGAAATCATTGTTATTAACTTCAGTAGAGAAAATTCATGTAAATAACACGTTCAATTAATTTATCTTGACCTTTTAAAATGTTTAGAATACTTGAAATGATTACAAATTGAGTAAAATATTGTAAATTGCATTTTTTTAGTATTTAGATCTAAGGTCAGATCACTCTAAATGCAGAAAAATACATGTACCTTAGAATCAGAACTCTTTAGTGTAAGTGTAGAGAGGGTTCTTAAAACATAAAAAATGAGTTATCAGACAGCTTGTATAATGGAATTAATCTTAAATATGATTTTAAATATATGTAAACTTTGAATAAGTTAAACTGAACTGAATAAAGATGGACGTATTTTATATTTCAAAGTATTGATAAGCTGATTTAAATAAAACAAATATTAAAAAATCAAAGGAAAAGAATGTGATTGAGAAGAATTAAATGAACGAAACTCGAATCTCATAATCTTTAGAAAGAGATACGGATTACTGGAGGTACATAGCAATAATATAGTAGAAATTAAAAAAAAAAGAAGATTACCGAAGCAATATCTCTCTGAGCAGGCATCCAGTGCCGGTAGGCAGTACGCGTTAAATGAACCACAGTGTTTTATTCTGATAGTGACATCCTTAACACATGGACTCTCAAAACCAACTTTGCATACTTTTCTGTGCACAACTTCGTTTTCCACTGTTGGAAGACTTCCTAAAGAACATCATTTAATTTTTAAGATTGCTTAATATAATTATATTAATACTTAATATTTTTCCTAAACATCACTTACCAAGCATAATATGAGAAACACTAATTAATGTGTTTTTTTCAGGCAAACATTTAAATTATGATATTAATTATAAAGGTCAAAATTTCGAGTATGATGATGTTTTTCATCCATTTGGCACAATTCGCCAAATATTTCATTCTGACACATTTTGTATCAACGTTATTTCTAAATTTACGTATTAAAATGAAATTCAAACATATCCAAGTCATTCCACAATTAATGAAGAACATCATAGAGGGCATTGATTAATAAACGTTGATTTAAATCCCATTCAAAGCATAACGATCAAATAGGGTTTACAATTGCAATAAAATGAGTAATATAAGAAGGGTTACCGTTAAGCCACGAAGGATACACAGCTCCACAACTGAGTAAATTTGGAGGATGATTCAACATGTCTTCTTCAAACCTGTGCCATCCTGGAGTTATGTAGCGATCACAATAATCGTAACTCTTGTACAGGCAGTTCTCTGCCCTAAAATCCGGCTCAAATGAAGGCCGTATGTTGGCTGCCTCACAGGGGTCTAAATCAAAAAAATATTATTGTATTCTGAATCCCCATATGTACAGATAGTTTATTATATTTATGTAGATTTTATGACAATGTTTTTTTTTTTCGAGCCATCCCGTTAACGCTTTTAATTGCTGGAGTTATAGGAGAACTATTTCGGCAAAGTTCACATACATTGCATGGACATATGTATGTGGGTAATACGATGTGTTTGTCAATACAGTCTGTCATTCATTAAATAGAGTGATGACTGACATCTGTCATACAAATTGGTAGTCAATTGCTTCACACTGAATTGTCATAAAATTTTCTGTCTACTCATTTAATTAAAAGGCACACAGTAGGTGTGTCCGGTCGACAAGGGAATGTCTACTCCTGTCCCTCGTGCCACCTTATCACATCAACAATATATGCGCAGTCCTTCGTGGTAATTTATCCCATCAACAATATAGGCTCACTCCTCCTTGGCACCTCATCCTATCAACAATATATATATTCATTATTCCTCCGTGGCACCTGATCCCAACATCAATATAGGCTTACTCCTCCTTGGCACCTGATCCCATCAACAATATAGGCTTACTCCTCCTTGGCACCTGATCCCATCAACAATATAGGCTTACTCCTCCGAGGCACCTCATCCCATCAAAAATATATGCTTACTCCTCCTTGGCACCTGATCACATCAACAATTTATACTCATTCCTCTGTGGCACCTGATTCCATCATCAATATAGGATCACTCCTTCGTGGCACCTCATCCCATCATCAATATATATTCATTTCTCCGTGGCACTTGATCCCAACATCAATATAGGCTCACTCCTCCTTGGCACCTGATCCCAACATCAATTAAGGTTCACTCCTCCTTGGCACCTGATCCCACCAACAATATAGGCTTACTCCTCCGTGGCACCTTATCCCATCAACAATATAGGCTTACTCCTCCGTGGCACCTTATCCCATCAACAATATAGGCTTACTCCTCCATGGCACCTTATCCCATCAACAATATAGGCTCACCCCTCCGTGGCACCTGATCCCATCAAAAATATATATGCTTACTCCTCCATGGCACCTGATCACATCAACAATATATGCTCACTCCTCCATGGCACCTGATCTAACCTCTGATATTTTGGAAGTCCGTGTTTGCTCTGCTCCTATTGTGTATTGTTTTATGGACTTTTGATCTCGAATACTGTTTGTTATCTTCATATGTTTTATGCAGAGGTTCGTGTTACTTCTATTTTCATAATATTAGATTAAGAATAAATACCGTTCGAAACAAGATATGTCAGAGTGTTCGAATCACAATATAAATATGAAAGAGAGGTTGATCATCTGAACATAAAAGAATTCAAAAGTCAAACTACAAGAAAATCAGATTAAGTCTTATCCAAAAACATGTTTGAGACATAGAAGTAATATATATTTCCATAAACGGACACCCATATGCATGTAATCATTTACATGTATTCTTTGCTATGCAGCACTTCTCTTACATTCGGGCAATATAATAGTACTTCAGTAACAAAAATAATCTTTTTTTTAATTTAAGACTTTACTCACCATCAGTCATATCGCAGAACCATAAACTTGAAGCATCTGAATAAAAGAAATAATAAACCATTAAAACATGTAAAAGTAATGTGTGTCAAGTTATGAATAATTGTAAAACTTCCGAGTCTATAACTGTGAGGGCTTTTTAAAAATATTATTCGTATAGTCTTTCAATACTTTTATTCAATAATTTTAGTGTATTATATGAAATAGGATTAAAACATTTTGTGCACTTCAATCTATAAAAACATCAATCTATAAAAAGCATTCTACCTGTGTACTGAATTTGAGATTTTAAAAAGTATGTGTAAATTGATATTTATCCATTTAAAATGAATGTCTCAAGACACATAAAAATCCCACTTGAAATCCCATTTAAATATATTGTGGTATAGTATAGACGAAAACAATTTTCTCAAACGTAGATATACCATCTTTCTGTTCCTCGTAGAGTTATCTTTCCTTATCATATTATATTGGGGGAAATCTTTATATTTTTACAATTGTAAGTTCCTTGCCAGGTTTCCTGTAGCGAGATTTATTTTACACAATTAAAAGCAATATGTAATGGGTGTAGTCGTTTGTTAAGATTTTTATATATTTCCTTCCAGCATATAAAAGCTCGTTTAAATTGCCTTACACTTGATGTGCACTTTAAAACTACCAGCATATATTATCTTGTGAATATGAAACCAGGCACGCTCAGCTAGACGTAAACATACACTGATTGTTTGCAACTTTATTTTGCTCTATTTCATGCCCTACGACATATTTGAAGAAAATATGAATGTAAAACAGTAAAGGTTTCAGAATTTTGTATTTTGTACAAGAATACTGGTGATAATTTTTATCACTGTTGTTCAAACTAATCACATTGTTTTAAATCTATGTCATCATAAAAGAATAGTATCAATTATTACCTGCCCACGTAATCACGGACACTATATAAACAAGTGTAAATCTCATCATAGAGGAAAGAAACATCATCTGTAAGAAAAACGAGATAAAAAGATTCCCAATATAGACACTATGACGTAATTTCCAGTCCACCCAAATACACACAGAAAACAGTGTTTATTTCTTATGACAAAAGTCTTGATTTAAACAAATTATAATTCCATAGATACAATTAAAAAGAAAATGAATTACCTTTGACAGGAAGACTCTGAACTTTGTTGTTACATTTGTAATGTCCTCCAAGCTTCAACCAGGAAGAAAAGAAACTAACGACGTTCTATAAATACACAACGATTCTGCGTAAACAAACCGGTCTATTGAATTTCAAAACCTCGAATGAGGTTTTAATAATTCACCGACATTTTTTTTTATCACATTGCAGGTATTCGAGAATCCTCGTTCCGCTAGAGAGGGGATGATGCTTTATATCCTGATCGATAATTTAATCTCAAATCAATAAAGCATTGATGCAGGTGCACAGGCTTAAATAAATCAATATATTCAGAAATGAGGTCTTTGTGCAAATGCATTTTTAAACCTCGGCATCAGCTTGCTCTTCTGATGACGTTTTAAGATTATCTTATTTTAAAAGCTATAATTTTTCTTACATCGTATAACAACGAAATAGAAAAAAAAATTAATCGACTTTTCTTTTTTAAAACCAGTTATTTATTCAGCTTTGCATTGTTTAAATGTGCTTTAAAAACCTGACAATTAAGTTCAGAAAAGTAATTTTTCTGCAATGCTGTTAACAAATATATCACATCCTTAACAATTCAAGCATTTTTACGGAAGTGTATTACTGCCAGTTAAAACATAAGTATAACATCATCTTTTGTTCTTTTAATACTTTCTATTTCTTGCAAGACCCAAAACATTCCAATAAGTTACCTGAAACTGTCTAAGTTAAAAAAAAATATTGGATGGCTACACGTAACTCATTGGATTAAGAAAACACAACACAAATAAACACAAATAAATATTTTTTAGACAATGAATCTAACATGTTTCACAATCTAATTAAATAATCTATTTCAAACTAAAACTTTGTAACTATTCCAATAAATGATGAAACGTACATTTCAATTCACAATGAACATCAAAACTTAATTTAAGGTAGGTCCGTACTTTCAAAATTTTCTGTCAAACTGTTTATTTTTTGATTTGAAAATCTTGAGTAAGTCATAATCTAACTAAAACATCCATAAAATACATATCTTTGCAGGTTAATTTTCATGCAACATGTCTCGGAGTACATACCTCTAAAACTTCAACAGCCAAAATTCAACATATAGAAGTGTAACATCATATTATAGTTAGCTATGTACCAAAGCACATCAAATTAATGCTAAAACTTATGAAAATCAAAAATATTCATTTGTCAAGAGAATATTTGAAATTTCTATTTGAAAACACTAAAAAATTGATGTTGATTCTGTCAAAATCTTTCAGAGAAAAACCTCAAAATATCTTTATTTTAAATATTTCTCAAAATTATATTATGTTTACATGCTTTTTTTTCTTTATAATTATTTAGAATTATATCTTAGGTTATCAAAAACACATTCTTTATTATGGTTGACCAGAAAAATTTCACAAAACATCCTTTTGAACACCTATACCCCCATTTTTGGAATATCTATTTTTCAATCTTTCTTCGCAAAATTTATTTTAAAAGTAAAATTTTAAAAGATGATATAGGCTTAAAATTAAAAATAAAGTAGATCTCAATTT